TCTGAGTATGTTTCCGAAAATAAGGGTTTAGGGTTTAGGGTTTCTGAGTATGTTTCCGAAAATAAGGGTACCGTAATTTGGGGTCCTTACAACAAGGATACGGTTTAGGGTTTATGGTTTAGGGTTTAGGGTTTAGGGTATTGGGGTCCTTCCAATAAGGATGCTACTATTTAGGGTGCTATATTCAGGTCCCCTATTTTCGGAACCCCCCCCCATATCGCGGCCTTAATAGTTAGGTAAAGTATAGTCATGACGCAGGGGACTAAGAGTAACCCTAAACCCTAAACCCGACTATCAGGGACCACCGGAGCAATGTTGGATGTCCGCAATGGAGGTGCCCCGTCACTGCCAGGGACCCTCGGCGACGATGCATCCGGAGATGCATTTGTCCGCTGAGGCGGTGGTGGTACATCCACTTCCACCTTCTTTTCAATGGACGGCGTCTTGTCTAGCCCTTGCTGTTCTGGTGATGTAGTCGAAGTAGAGGAAGCGGCCTTTTCAGGCTCCTGCCTTGGGTGCTGCCAAGACATTGCCAATGCAAGCAGCAACTTGTTCCTGAATGCAGCGAGTTGATTGATCCTAAACCCTAAACCCTAAACCCTAAACCCTAAACCTTTAATGTAAGGTGACGTTTGATCTCATCGTCACCTCTGATGGACTCCATGGGTGTTACAGGCTCCGACATAATGTGCCAAAGTTGAAAGCACACGAACCGACAAAAGGAGAAACAAATGTAGAGCGACAATGTTGACCATGTAATAGTAAGACAGTCTTGTTTGTAAGTATTCGACCCCTAAATGAAACGGCCGTAACGGATGCGTGGGTTGAGGGTGGCAAGGGCTTCCCTACTTGGACAGTCCTGTGGCAAGGATAATATAGCGGCCTTAATAAGCCTTAATAATTAGACTAGGGTTTGAGGGTATACTATACTACAAGTAGCAGAAGGAGCCCCCGGAAATAATATTGGTAATCATTTAGGCCCCCATGTTCATCAGATGGGATCTGGAGACTATTGCACGGGAGCGTACTGTACTTCGTCACGGATCCTTCCAAGTATACGAATTTCGAATAACGCCCTAATCGGGTGTAGGGTTTCGGATTCAGGGTTTGATGCTGTCTAGGCTTAATGCCTTTATAGGACTCTTGCAGGGAATTGAGCTCAATTGAGGTTTAAAGGTTCAGTCAGGGTACAGCTGACAAGCGATGCAAACCAAAAACGGTGGCGCAAAATCAGCTTCTCTTCTTGCTCCTACACTGGGCCTAAGGTTTCGAATTTGCGGCGGGTTTAAATCGGAAGCTTACATTGAGTTGCAGGATAGGAATTTGTGGGTGCCAGCTCTGCTCAAAAGTAGAGGGCAGGAATCACGCAGGTCAGGGCGTCTAAGGTGGCTTGAGGATTGGCATTCTGGGGTTGAGGGTTTGGGTTCAGGGTTTATACGCTGCAGGGGGGTGCAAACTCCACTCATGCATCTTGCCGAGCATCATCGTCGCCCCTGACGTATGCGGGCTTAGGGGGCTTGGGGTTTAGGGTTTAGGGTTTAGCGGGAGCATTAGGGTTCGTGGGTTTAGGGCTGAGGGCTTGTATCGAGTGTATACTCGGCCATTAGTGAGCGGGTGAGTGTGCTTCTTCTGCGTTCTTACTGTAAACCTTAGTATTCGTAAGTCCATCAACTCTCACAGACAAAACCCGCATCCCCTAAACCCCGTGCAATAGAACCCTTACAGGAACCCGCATAAACTCATAGGTTTTGGACTTAGGGTTCAGGGTAACGGTCAACATCATGGTCACTTGGGGAACCCTATGTAAGTTAAATTCCACTCTCAATACAGCACCCGACAGTTTGGGAACCCATTTTGGACAACCACCAAACCTACGTAGGTTCCCAATGAAGGAGCCCGAAAACTTCCCTGAACCCTGAACCCAAAATCCCCTAATCGGCATCGCTATTCTTGCATGTAGGTTGCCTTTAGAGGCACCGCATCTATCACCCTTTGAAGGATCCCTCAAACCCATTCAACCAGACCTGGGTCAAAGTGGAGAAGTGCGATGACCTCGGAGAAGTCACCCGCGCCGCCTTCGCAGAAACAGCTGCGAAGGATTCCGGCCGTTACAGTTTTACCCCTCTTTTTGAGGTCATATCTCTTTTTGAAGCTACCTCGGTTACTCTAGGTAGGGTTTTTTAGTTTAGGGTTTTGGGGTGTCTAGGGCTGGCCTGGCTTTACAGATGTTTTCGGGCAATTGCTGGTTAGACCATGGAGTTCTGTCGTTTCTAAAGGAAACTACAGGTGGGGAGTTTAGGGTATATAGGGCTTCTATAAGGCTTCCGTAAGGTATATAGACGTGCTATAAGGCTCCTATAATAACCGTAACTACAAACCCGAAAAATGTCCTAGACTGTTTGTTGGCGTAGTAGTCAAGCTTGTTGTTGCTTTGAGGTCTTAGTGGGCTGCTGGGGCTTTTCTGGCTGGACGGTATTAGGCTTCTGGTGTTTTGTCGATTAAAAATCTTAAAACCCCTAAACCCTAAACCGGGAGATTTAGCCCGATGCAAGAAACATATCACCCCCCCAGCACCCTGAAACCCTAAACCCTAAACCCTAAGGTTGAGGGTTTAGCCCTGAAGCCTAAACCCTAAACCCTAAACCCCAAATCCAAAACCTCTAAAGACTTGAAGCCCGACATCTGCAAGGACTCTACGGCCTTGGAAGAAGGAGGGGATAACTACATACTGCTAATATTAGGGTTTAGGGTTTAGGGATAACTACATACTGCTAAGTTACGAGTATGAATACTAATACTAATGCTGATGCTACAAGTGGTATGAACAGCAAAAACAACAACACAAATAAACATTTGAATATAATGCAGATAGTGACAACACCACTGGTAATAGTAATACTAATAACGGGGATAAAAAATAGTAAGAAAACTGCAACGATACTAATGGACAAGGGGTTGTTGGGCACTTCTTGTTCAAGGCTGTGCCGTGGGGATTAAGCGTAACGGTTTCATGGTGTGCGGGTTTAAGGCTTCGGAAGACAATAAGTAACAGAGGATCCTTAATGGTCTTAATGATTAGGGCTTAGGGTTTTGGGGTTGGGGGTTTAGGGTTTAGAGGGCAACTAGCGAAAAAACACACCAGATGAAGTAGTACTGGCAAGTATTCCGAATCCTACGGCTGATGGACAAAATCCTGCATGACCTTATATACCTAAACTATGGGATTTATGGTACTATACTATATTTGGGTCATGCAGAATTTTGTCCATCAACAGTATCTCAGCCGAAGGGACCACTTGTAGAAGAACGACCCAACAAGGCGAGACACGCAAACACAGCCCAAAGCCCCACCCTGCCATCACCCCCAACCCTAAATCACATGGGACTTTCCGAAAATTAGGGTACCTTATTTTGGGGTCCTTATAATAAGGAACCTATTATTCAAGGTATTACATTAGGGTCCCCTATTTTTGGAAACCCCCACATATGCTGAGACCCGCAACTCTACATCCCTTGTAGATCCCTTGAACTACCCCTGAAAAGAACCCTAAGCCCTCAACCTTAATACCCCATAACAGGAATCAGCACCCTAAACCTTAATACCCAATAAAAGGAAGCAGCACCGTAAACCTTAATACCCAATAAAAGGAATCAGCACCCTAAACTTTAATTCCCCCATAAAAGGAAGCAACACCAAAGGCAGTTCCAAAAGAAGCAGTGATGTAGGCAAGCCGCTCGCAAGCCGATCCCCTATCCTGCCGGCAGCAGCTGCTTTAAACGTTTGTTTTTTTGTTTTGTTGTAAGGCCTTGGGGTAACCCTAAACCCTAAACCCTATACCCTAAAAAGAGCCTACTTAAGGGTCTAAAGCTCATGATCTTCGTTGATCTTTAAATTGGGGCTTCAAGATCGGGGAATCCTAGGAATAACGGCCTACACCCTCGCCCCTAAACCCCCAACACTAGGTAACTTAATGGCCCCAAAACCTACAAAAGCCGATCTTTCTGCATAGTTTTGGAGTCCAGGTAGCCCCTAAGCTCCAGTTCTCCGAGCCTCAAAGTTAAGCATGGGGGGAACGTCAGGCGGCGTGAAGCTTCTCGGCACGCACGATGGGCCCCACTTCGATTTGGGCTTGGCTTAGGGCTTGGATTTGGGGTTTAGGGTTTAAGCCTTTAGGGTTTAGGGTTTAGAGTTTAAGCGTTTAGGGTTTAGGGCTTAGGTTTGCGGTTTACAAAGAAAGATTTCGAAGAGCTGCTGTAAGTGCCCATGGGGTCTACGAATCGGAAACTTGGCCTTGCAGTGGGCCCCCAGTCTCCTCTATAAACTCCACACTTACACGGTTTAGGGTTTAGGGTTTAGGGCGTTTAATTTGAAAACAAGCCTGAACCCTTGCACCCTATAGGGTTTCGCACCCCATAGCCATATACACTCAGGGCTGGGTTTTAGGGGTCAGGGTCTTGGGGTCTAGGTTTACTGTAAGTCAGTATCCCCCAGAATAGCACCTACGGTTGATGATATATATATATATATATATATATCCTGCATTCCCCATAATGAGAAGTATACCATAGTTCCCATAATTCGGGGTCCTTAGGGCAATGCAGGATTTATATCATCAACAGTAACAGTAAGACCCTTCCTGAGGCTGACGGGGTGGAAGCCCACCTCACGCTGGCCATGTGAATGATGCCACGATGCTTCTCGAACACCTCATGTCCGCTTGCTGCCGGCTGTGCTGGTTTGAGGTTGTAAACTGTACGTGTAGGAGTGTGGTTGGTTTTGTAGGGGTGTGAGCTAGCTTTTGTTTGAGGGTTATGCCGGGGGTATGTAACTATATGAAGTGTGTGTGTATATATATATATATACATATGTAATATACAGTGTACTATAATGAAATTCAACTAATGTGTGTATGTATATGTATATATATATATATATTCTTTCTTTTTCATGTAGCCATGTGCGTGCAATATGACTTTTTGCGTATGCAATTTAGAAAAAACACATACATTACTAATTATGAGCTTGCGTACATATAAGATATCTGATAGGCGTACATAAAGATTTGATACGGGTGTTGGGGATTTGGTGCGCTAACTGGCCAATGATGCAGGGTTCCGCTTATAGGGTGTTGGGTTTGGGGTTTATAGGGCTTAGGTTGTTTTTTGCTGCCGTGTTGCCGTGGCCGTGGCCGGGAAACAGTTACCATCGCTGGCACTGTCGCCTGCAAACTCTGCGTGGAGCAGGATAACTCATGTAAACTGGGCTTCACGGAGCGTTCATGGCGTTTTAATGCGCTTTATGAGCTTATAATTGCAAAACTGATATGAGGGGTTTCTAAAAGTGTCAGGGGATTTAGCATAAGGATTCTGAAGAGAATCGTGCACCAAATCATGTTATCATGCGCAGATCCTACAACAAGACCTACATCAGGGTTCGCATGTTTTCTGCAACTCCTTTCTCGTTCCAACATATTCGATAACAGTCCATTAATAACCATGTGACTCCAAGTAGCACCTGCTTTGGGATATTAACTGCAGGGTATGTCTTAAGTACTAGTTAACATTACTCCGACGATGACGTTTACTTATAGAGTTTTGCCTGTGCCGATATTGCTGCAACTGTTGTCAGACGTGAGACAGACCATGGCCATTCACGTTACGATTGATGTAGGGGCCTTAATAGTTAGAATAGGGTTCTGGGCCCCCTTTAGAGTATATTCATTACAAGGAACCCTAACAGTAATATTGGTAATTATTAATTCCCTAAACCCTAAACCCTAAACCCTAAAACCCTAAAACCGTAAACCCTGAAACCCTAAACCCTAAACCTTAAGGCTTCTAGATGACATCACTGCTGCAATTAAAGCCTTCATGGCTCAACTGAAGGTTCCCTCAAGGTTTGCTCTCAACGAGTTCCCCTGTAGCCGCTGTATACTTACTTCCCCTAAAGGCCAGGGAAATAAAGGGTCAAACTTTCAGATTGATATTAAATCACATGAAGCAAAAGAAAATGTTTGAAGGTTTGGTATTGGGGAACCAAGTATAACCTGGATTCATTTCCTACTATGCCGTCGCGATAGAGGCTCGCAGGTAAGGGTGCGACTCGGGAAACCCAGACTGACCCCCAACGCCATAACACCACCTTAAGCCCAAAAACCCTAAACCCCAACTTTAAACCCGTAAACCCTAAACCCCCGAACCCTAAAATCTTAAGCTCAAAAACCATCTCAGAAGCTTTTGGGATCGATGTAGAAGGCTTAGACAGTTTAGGGCTGGGGGGGTTTAGGGGTCTAGGGTTTGGGGCTTCGGGCTTGGGGTTTAGGGTTTTCGCTCTGACAAAACGAGTTGGGCCCGGGATTTCAGACGTACCTTGGTTTAATCAAACAACAGAGGGTTCTAGTGTTTTAAGGCGGCTTCTTACAGGAATCGGGCGCTTACCATAAGATCAGTTGGTCAGGAAATAACTAGAATTGGGCTTAGGGGTATATCAGGT